TTTCATCTCTTCGTCAGAAAGATGGAGCTGATGGTAAAATGACGTCAGCTAGTGTAAAAACGGCAGCGTGAAGATTACACGTGTTTAAATCATCGATTATTAAATTAAATCAATGTTTTATTTTAGTTTTTATTCCTAGTCTTTAGATTTAAGGGACATCTGTCGCTCTGTTCTGCGCCTGCGCACCGGCCAACGCCTCAAACAGCGGCCGCTCCAGTAATCAATAAGTTATTACGTTATTGGTGATTCATCTCATCGCTGGCTGTGGGTTACCCGGTTATCGGGACCAGGACCAAGTCCATTACAAGGACCAAGACCAGGTCTATGACTAAGGCCCAGGAATAAAAAGAGCAGGAATAACATGGAGGATTATTTTGGGTTGCTTAGATCAGATGTTCCACTTCCTGTTTTAGAACCTCAGCTGACCACATAAATATCCTCCCCCACTCGTGGGGTGGAAGGGGGGTTATTGGATGCACCATCTGTGGGGGCTGGACTCTGTAGGGTCACGGGTTTGACCTCCTGGTTTAATCGATGTTTAAATGATATCAAGGGTGAAAATCTGCTCTGAGATCAGTGATTTTGTGTGTTTTGTCTCAGACGTGATGGAGAAATCGAGCAGCCAGTATGACTCCTTCCTGTTCTGGAGGCAGCCAATCCCGGCTCTCGACCTATCTGAGCTGGAGGACCTGGGTTTGATAGACTGTGAGGCGGCCAACAGCGGGAAGGGAAGGGAGAAGAAGACACTGGAGCTGTGGAGCTGTGATGAAGAGGTGAGGCTAAAACAGGTGACACATGAAAATGTCCCACTGAGCAGTGTCCGACGAGCCGATTTTTCCCAAATCATTATTTGGGAAAAATCTGTGATACAACACTCAAATCTCTGACAGCAGTTATCAAAGTACTGCAGGCCTGATCATGTGATCAGTTCCAGGTGTATTTACCTCACAGCAGGTGAACACACTCCTGCTGAGAAAGTGCGAACACAAACAAAGGAAATATTGCTTCTTATGAAGACGCTCCAGCTTCAGCTTCAGCTTCAGCTCCAGCTGCTTTATCTGCACCTGCATGTAGATTTAGTGTACAGTTCCTGTGGGTGGTGCTGTGAGTGCTTCCATTGGCTGTTCCCAGAGGACATGAGACACTACACATATCAGGTGACTCGGGGTTCACCAGACCGACAAGCTCGAGTCCACACTCCAGACTTTCCTCTCCAGGCCAGGCCAACAATAAATTGTTCTCTCTTTGCCCCACACAGCCACAGTTTCCAACATCACGGTTACTGCACGCGTGTCACACCACAGACACAAGCAGAGTGGAAACCTGACATCATGTCTACAGGAAAGAAATCTCCACGTCCTTCACTTACACGGGGGCTTCACTTTTCCTCACTGCTAATATGAAGTATTAGCAATATGAAGTATTAGCAGTGAGAGAGAGATGATGTGAGGAAGCTGTTTTCCCTGCAGACGTGCAGGGTGTGATGTGGTGTGTAGTTATGTATGTAGTAAACTCTTTGGATAAAGTGTTTGGGTAAAAACAGATTATTTTATTTATTTTATTGCATAAAATAGCTCTGATTGCAGAGTTTCTGACTCCACGTGACTCAGGCTCTCCTCCACAAATCCCAACATCACAGCTAACAGCTGGATTTTAGCCCAACAGCCACTTCCTGCTGCAGACACAGACAGTAAAGTGACAGTAGATCCTGGTTTAACATGAACTGACTGCTGCAGCACTACAGTGATCCCCTCACACTGATGTTTAGCTTCACTGTCCTTATTTTCCTCTGAGGCAGGGGTGGTCAACTCCAGGCCTCGAGAGCCGGTGTCCTTTAGGTTTTAGATGTGTCCTTGATCCAACACAACTGATTCAAATGGCTAAATGACCTCCTCAGCATGTCTCGAAGTTCTCCAGAGGCCTGGTAATGAACTAATCATTTGATTCAGGTGTGTTGACCCAGGGTGAGGTCTAAAACCTGCAGGATGCCGGCTCTCGAGGCCTGGAGTTGGCCACCCCTGCTCTGAGGTATCGATCCTGTCACTAGTTAATAATGGCAGGCTCCATACTGACTGGAGGGGGCGCTGTTTTTAAAACTTCACACATGAAGTTACACCATTGAGCCCTGCTCTCAGGATCTGACATAGATGTAAGTTAGCCTTTCTGCATGTAGAGTTTACTCCCCTCTTGGATGTTGCCCTTGGGCTGCGCTGTACAGAGACCTGTTGTTAACTGAAATGTGTCATTCCCTGTATCTCCTGCAGAGGGAGCTGTCAGAGTTCTCCTCCTTTAATTACTGGAGAGCTCCAATTGCCGCTGTGGACGCCCTGCTCGCTGACCTGCTGCTGTGAAGCCAGCTAACCTCTGACCACACTGAAGCAAAGATGCAGGGTCTGCAGGACAGCACGTTAGGTGCACCACACTTCCAGTTTTCTTCCTGGGTGGAACAGGAAGTGTGGTGCTCTTTGAACCCTTTGATTATCGTTTGGTAAAATAAATTTGACTTGTGATGGAGCAGCTGATGTTTGAAGAACTGCGTCACCCTCTCAGGTGAGGTTCACCTGCAGAACTGAAGAAGATGATGTGACTGGTGTGACAAGGCCTTTTAATTTTCCGGTTTTTGAACAAACGCCTGTGAAGATCACACTGTTCTGTTTCATCTGTGCCTTTTTTCTTTTGTTACAGCTGTTCAGGTTAACCTCACAGTCTGCCCTGTTTATAATTTATTTATTTATTTGTGTAGCTGTAATCAAACCTCGCACTCCTGCCAACAACAATAAAAAAGTCCACAGTTACTCGTAAGTTTGGCTTTTATTACAGTAAAAGTAACTAATAAAGTCACACGATCATTAACTGGCCATGTCTGTGAATTACAGTGACTATGGAGTAAACCTCGTCATTCACAACGAATAAATTCGTGTTCAGCTTCAGGGTCAGAAACACCTCTGTGACATCACTGAGTAACGTTCACAGCACACACCCGAGTGATTACCTCATCACCTGCTGATGATTACAGAATGAGTCGGATAATCAATACATTTGATCAGCAGCTCCTGAAAAATGATCCTCTGAACAGAACCTCTTTCTTCTTGTGCCCGGCGCCTGGTGGTGGATTATGGTTAACGGAGTCAAACATCACAGAAGAAAAAACTTGATTTCTATCATGTGCCTCAGAGCTTCAAACCTTCCTGCACCTGTTAAACAGCGTTTGATTGGTCCAGAGGCGCTACAGGTGCAACTGACAGGAAACCCAGGTGTGCTTCTCTGTGATCTCTGCTGCAGGATTTAGCAGAGCTGCCCACGCACCTGAGCCATCAGCAGGTCTGTGCTGTTACCTGATTAGAAGTACTTTCTTATGTTTCACACCTGAACATCGAAAGTGGAGGTTTAAGCTCTTTCAGATCAAAACCCGGCTGACACGCATTTATTTGACCAATCACGTCTCCAAACATCAGGTCTTATTGGTCTGATTCCTCTCAGGTTAATCATGCATCAAGATAATTTTCTTCTTCTATGATCACCTGGGGTCATAGATCATCTCAGAGAAAACGCACACATCTGTCCTGTCCAACGTGACAGCTCACAAAAACCCATTATCCCTTTAAATAATCGAAACACGTCAAACAGACTATCACTTTTCTTTTTTTATTGGAGATTTATGAATAATTTAAGAATTTAATTTATACACATTTAAATGTGAAATTCCAGAAAACAAAACACAGGACTCTTCTTCTACTACTCCCAACATGTCGTACTCTTCTTTGCTGCGCAGGCGGGAATCAGCCTCTCCTGTTGGCTGATCTGCGGTCAGCCTCGGTCACTGCATCACAGCCCTCTGACGCACACTCTGTTCTTCAAACTGACCTCAGATCTCTTCGCCTCCGCCGGCACAGAGCCCGCCCCCTGGCAGGTTAACACTCTCCGGCTTCCACCTCCGGTGTCGCGGGGCCGCCATCTTTGTAGCACATTAAACATTTTTTTTAAAAAAAATACCTGTTTGTGAAGGTTTTCTGAGCAGGTAAGCGCACCTTTCCGGGTCCCATCCACGCCAGGAGGCGTACGATCGCGAGAACCTTGAGATAAGAAGGTAAAGAAGCTTTATTTTAACTTGTTCCAGCTTACATGCGCGCAGGCTAACTGCTAACAGAGCTATAAGCTTTACAGAGGACCACACTTCCTTTGAAGACTTTCAACATAAAATAGTGTACGGTCCAACTGTGGATTTCAGGTACACTTTTACCGTTAATCAGTAGTTTATTGGTTTGTTTGCTATTAATTAGCCGAGGGGAAAATACTATAAATTTACATTAGTTGTAATATGAATTTTATCTGCATTTTCGTCAAAAACTGACTTTAGGCAGATATCTTCATGACAATGTCTGGTTTTCTTCACTTCCAAAGCCAGTTGGCTGAATGTTGTTATTGAGGGCTATCAAATGATTGAAATGCACTTTAAGATCTTTACTCAGAATTTTCAGGAAACATATTTAATTCACAAATACTAAATGGCATTAATCTGAACAATCCCTGTTAATAGTCCTAACGCTGACAGGAGTGCGGTGATGACGGTTTACAGTTTTACAAAAACATTTAAATCACTGGACCGCTGTAAAGGCTCTTATTTTGAAGGTTACATCCGTACCATCCGGCCGCGTCTCGCTAACTTTTCTCCGTAAACAGACTCGCTAGAGTCGGACGGGCCAAGCTCTCTTAGTGTTCGGCATTCATGTTCTGGTGCGGTTCTAGTCTTGAAGTGTACGCCTGACTGCACCCATTCTTCCGTAGCACGGATCGCAAAACAAGCACAAGCTCCCGCAGACGCCCACGGTGGGGCGGCTAGCATCGAGCCGCTAAGGTTAGCAGCGAGGAGTAGCGCGGCCCCACAAACCTGGAGCCGGTAAG